ACAACACAGTAGTTCCCGCTGCTTCTTGGGGAAACGGCGCAAAAAAAAAAAAAAAACATCACTTGGGATGTTGTAGGCGTGGCGTTGGGATTTCAGCCGTGGCGGCCCGCCACGGCTACGTCTATGTAAGGGAAACCCTGCCCTCTCTCCTGATACCATCTCATGTCCCCTCTCACTTTCCCTCATCTCATTTGCCTCACTGCTGCTGCTGCTTTCCTCATTCTCTGAAATTATAATGGCACTGTTAGAATAAAGAATAATTTTAAAATAAAATAAATACAAATGTCTAATATTTCAAAAGATTCGTACCACAGTTTACTTGAGTACAACATGTGTGGTCACTGGTCAGTGGATCAACATGTGGTTCTGCTGTACTTCACTGCGGGATCCTTCCTCCTCCTTGGTTCAGGGCGATGAACAAACAGGGTTGGTACAGCATCAGCCCTAAGTCTCACCTTGCCTTGCCTAAGCTTAGTAAACTGTTAACCAGGCTGTTAAATGTGGCTTCCTGCCACATTTAACAGTTTAATTGCAGCCTTGTGCAGTTGAGAGCAGAACATGTAGAGCCTTGATAGAAAATATTTGAGAGTGCACATTAAACTCACTGCACACAGCTTTTTGTTATTGTGACCTCTGGTCATGGTGAGGTTGCTCCTGCTGACTGGAGCCAACCATTTTCTTCTTCTCTCTGCGTCTTTGGGGAAGCCGTAATTCTGATTCCTCCCTCAGAACGATTGCTATATGCAGCGCAGCCAATCATGTAAGATAATAAACCTATAAAGGCGTTATTAAAATACTATTTTTGTACATATAGAAATATTGAACTAAACAAAAAATATAGAGATGTAAAATTCCGTTTTAAAATTTTATCCAACCCTAAAATTAGTCATTTCAAATTTTAACCCACAGACACATTTTATTTTAATAATACTCAAAATAAAGTTATTCAAAAGAGTTTCATTAGGTCTTGAGTACATTTCTCATAATTAATGATTCAGCTTATTTGTGCATATGTAATGACTAAACATAATGTTGGTAAAATGCTTTATTAAAATGCTATTATACATGTTGTACAAGTTTGTATTCATTTTTTCACAGTTAGCACTTTTTTATCTACTGTGATGAACCGTACAGTTTTATTGAAAATTTCTTTTTAATTAGTTGCTATAGAAGCCAGAAAATACTTTAAAATGGATATTACAACTCGAGTTTAGGGCAACTTGTAGGACTTAAAGTTATTAAATATGCTTATATTAGAGCACTGTGTTGCATTACTACATCAAAGTTATTGCTATAGTATATTATAGTAATGTATATGGTCTAAATGTGTTCTACAGTGTGTTAGGACTGTCGTGTTCCTGTAATGTAGAACAGTCACAGATGTTAGTCTTCCTACAAATGCTCGTAAAAATATAAATAGGCTACTTTGTGAAGGAGTTAGGACATAATATATAAAATAATATATAATATTATTCAATAATTACCACAAATCGCCAGGGGAAATGTGATTATATTAAATTTTTGTGATTTGTCCCACCATACTAATGATGTGTCGGTCTTTGAAGTGAACGATGGGAGCCGGCTCGTCATTGGCGTCCCCCCCGCCGTTGAGTACATTTTATTTACGATACCTTTTACTTTTACTTGAGTAAAAATTTAGGCAAGTACTTTTACTTGTACTTGAGTAAAAAATGATCAAAGTAATGGTACTCATACTTAAGTAGGAAATTTTAGTACTCTTTCCACCTCTGCAGATTACCTAGATGTTGTCAGTAAAACAATCGTTTTCCTTTGCTGATAACCATACAGATCTGTGCATCTTTCATTGTTTTTACAAAAGAAATGTATGATTCTCTTTCCTCACCAGAGAAATCTACATAACATTTACAGAGTAATAAAACATATTTAGTGTTGGATTTAATGATTTATCAGACCTCCAACATGGTGATGATGCAGACCCCCGAACCCACAGAGCCAAGTTCTGCTCCTCAGCATCGTCAATGTTCTCTCGTTGTTTTCTGCATTCTCGCTCAGGTTGCGTCCTACACCCGCTCCCGCAACGGCGTTTACATGCTCAGAAACATTTAGATGAGCCGTTATTAGGAACCAGGGAGCTGAAAAAATAACCCTGACACACTGACTCTAAAACGAGCTCCAATAAAACGTGTTAAAACACGTCATTTCTTTCAATTATCTGCCCCCAAACAGCACGTTTTCAGGAAGCACACAGATAAGGAACGTGTTAATATCACGAATATATTCAAAAGTAGCCTTGTTGTTTACATTTCTAATTGTTTACTTCCGGCTGTGATGCGCGTTCCCGTGGTACCACCAGTTCCACCAGCTGCAGCACCAGTTCCACCAGCAGCAGCACCAATACCAGCACCAGTTCCACCAGCAGCAGCACCAGTACCAGCACCAGTTCCACCAGCAGCAGCACCAGTACCAGCACCAGCCGCAGCATTATAACTAAAAGGGACATAAATGGAATTATTCAGACAGCGTCAGCGTCGTCAAGAACTTACGCAACGCTATAACCAGGTGACGTCACAAAGGGCATTTGATGTGCCACAAAGACCACGTGACCAGTTCTAATATAAAGCACTTCCACACAACAGATTCACTTTACCCCCAAACTCACCATCAGTTCACACGTATTTTTTTACCTGTCAGGAATAATCTACAGTGATGGATCTAGAAGAATACAACAGACAGCTGGAGCAAGAAATCAGCGAATTTCAGGAGAAAAACAAAAAATTGGAAAAATGTATTTTAGAAATAAGGGACAAATGGTCTGATGACCGCTGTAAACTGATAGAAAGACATGAAAAAGAAATGAAAAAGCAGCAGTTGCATTATGCAGAGTTAATAGCCGCACATAATTATAGGAGAACTTCTCAGGATGTGTTAATTTCAGATAATGACAGATTACTCAAAGATTTAAAAGATGAGAAAAAGATCTGTACATTTACAAAAAGAGATTCGAGAAACAAGACGTGGATGTCAAGACCTTACAGATGCGTCTCCGAAAAGCGGTAGAAGAGGATGAGTTACCAGAATCTGTGCTTGAGGAGACCCCAATTAGCAAGATAATGGCTGATCTGAAAAAAGACAATATCAGGGTTTTAAAATTAGCTCAAAAAAGCGAAGATTTTTGTGCTGACTTAAAACGTCAGCTAGAGGAAGCCGGGAATAGACTGGCTAAAGTAGACGAAAAGATCTCCAAGCTTATAGAGTTGAGAGAAGAAGAGAAACGCACAGAAGAAGAAGAGAGAGAGTTACGGGAAAAATTTCGTTTCTGTATTCGTATTGAGTCGAGTAAGCCACCAAAACCAGAACCAATACCAATTCCTGTAGTCACCACACCCGTCTTTAAACCCACTTCGCCACTTCCCTTCAGGTTTCTAGGCCTTAAACACCCACAGCGCACGAAGGAACCTCTAGTCTACAATCTTCCAGTAGAGGAACCACGTTCAAAGTCCAGAAAACCCCGTCGTGATTAGTTAGGTGTAAAGTCTATGACCATATAGACAAACAAATACAGATACAAACGCGTACAAAGGCTCGTCGATAGGTGGGGGGCCAATGGGATGGAGTCCAGGCACAAAATCCCTTAAACATGTAAGCTATACATAAAACGATATTTAAAGGATATTAAAGTTAGTAAGAATGACGAGAATCACAGAGGGGCAGCCCTCCAGTCCATCACCCAGATAAACGTCCACTGCTCATTGTTGAGTTAACCCTCTCAGGCTCAAAATAAGTTTTGATAAAAGGACGAACAACTAAGTCCTTCAGGGGTACTTCTGAGTTAAAAAATGCTCATGAACTACGTATGTGGAGTAACCAGGTAGGTAGGTTTTAACGTTGCTAATCTGCAACGCCTGCCTCCAGAGGGTTAACCTTTTTCTACAAAATCCCAGAAGATTTTAGCAACGGGCTTGAGATTTAGAGATTTTCTGGGGCTAAATCTTAGCAGCCCCACATTCTGCCTTAAGCTTTAATAACAGCTGGTTCTGTTTTGAAGACGTTTTGGTCTTGGTAGGAAAGCAGCTATAACAGCAAGAGGAAAAGAAAGCCTGCAGCCTTATCGCCGGAATGGCAAAGCACACCGATGCGTTTTAGACGTGCTTTAAAAGAGGACAAGAAATCAGCTGTCCTCACTCCAGGCTTTAGACTGGTCCACGGGACAGAGCAATCGCAGAGAAGGGACGGGACATACGACTCGATCAGGTCCCACATAAGAGGGAGCTAAACCATGCAAACGTTTAAAAACTAGCAGCAATATCTTACAGTCCCTCCAGCAGTACAGCGGGGATGTGATCATATTTCCTTGCTCCTGTGAGAAGGCGTGCTGCTGCGTTTGGGACATCCTGTAAGCGGCTGACTGAGGCAGTCCAGCCTTGAAGTAATCATGACATAAATGAAACCATAAATGATTGAATACCTCATGTGATGTTTTATCTGTCACAGTTTCAACCCCTCCTCTTTTATCCGGGCTTGGGACCGGCAGAAGTGACCCAAAGAGGGCACTCTGGCAGAGTTAGTTTTTTTTTTTTTTTTTTTTTAAATTCAATAAAATTGAATTCTCTTTAGCTTTATTAAATTGAATCCAGTTTACAGGCTCCTTAACCCTCCCACTGTCTTCACTCCAAATCAAATCATTAAACAAGTGATAGTTCATTATTCCACTTAGTTCAATGTTTTCTATGTAATGAAACCCAGCTGATTGCTGTGAAGTCACAGATTTGTTGAGTCAGTGACTTTTCAGCAATCCCCATACTGAGCTACAGCGGTGAGGAAAGCTCCCTTTTTAACAGGAAGAAACCTCCAGCAGAACCTGGCTCAGTATGAGAGACCGTCTGCCACGACTCACTGGGGGGTTGAGAAGACAGAGCAGATGAACGAAAAGTGCTTACCTGGTTTTACGCTTAGGGTACGGTCCTAAACACAAAACTCTGAGTTCATCTGAAAGAAACAATCATGATGTTTCAGTTTTCTAACAATTTCGTTGCACCTGCTATCTACTTGTGTTTTTGTTTTTACCACATTTAATTATTAAACTTCTAAACTTAGCTGTTTAAAGAAACTGCTGACTAAATGTTTTTCTGCTTAGTGAAGCTGTTACGCTTTTAGCCATTTGCTTATTTAAACTTCTTGTTTGTTTGCTTTTGTGTGTTTTTCTGAGTTTTTAAACTAGGTTATGCCAAAGTACCGTACTTATGATAGGATCCACGTTGTCTACCTCAAATATGATGCTAAAATGAAGAATTGAATAAAAGCTAAACACACATATTGAAGAAAAACACAGTTGCAACAAGCAACGTGATCCTATTCAGAGAAGCAGCTGTTTAAAGCCCAGACTCCTCTTTACAGCAGTATTACTCTACCTGCATAAGAAGCTCAGAAGCAAACTTACAAAGCTAATTTTTGAAGTTATGAGTAAGAATTGAGTTTTATCTTAGCTAATTTTTGGTCATAAACTGTGTTTTAGTTAAAAAACACTTGATTGGTGTAATCCTGTCCCAACGTCACACTGAGAAGATTATTGAATGCCTTAGGCTTTTTTTAAAGCCTCTAACACATTGTGCACATAAATTATCAGGTATTTTGTGTATCTTTTGCAAATCCTGTCATATAAATAGCTATGGTGGACCGCCAGGGTCGTTTTTTGACCCCAGTCCTGCAGTGGGTTGAGAGAAATCCAGAGGGAGGATGAGTGACTCTGTTGGTGGTCGAAGGGCGACTGAGTTAGGAGGGATCTAGCTCGGTGCTGGTTGAGTTGAATCCACACCCTTGAAGACTTTAGTTTCTGCGTTTTATAAAAGCCAAGGGTGACTTTGGAGCTGCTTTAAGGTGGGACGTCGCCATGGGGTTCTCATGAAGCAGCTCTTTAGGAGTCTCTTACAGTCTGGAGAGAGATCCGTCCTGATTTTGAGTTCATTTTTGAGAAATTTTGTAGAGTCAAACAAACTTTCGTGGAGCATTTCATAGAGAACAACCCCTACCTGCCACACAGTTGCTGGTCCTGCCTCGTAAATGCTTTTAGAAATATACTCAGGAGGGGCGTGCTTCTCTGTGCCGTAGAACCAGCCGTCTTCATACTCTTTGTCGGTGAAACAACTCAGTCCAAAGTCAATCAGTCGCAGATGAGGGATTTCTGATCCTGTTTCAATCAGAATATTTTGAGGTTTGATGTCTCTGTGGAAGATGTTGGTGTCCTCCAGATGATTGACAGCATCAACCAGCTGTTTTACAATAGTTTTAGCCTGGTTCTCCTGTAGAGGCCCTTTGTTATTTTCAATAAACTGTGACAGGTCCACTGCAGGTACTGGTCTCTCCAACACCAGAATCTGTTCTTCGTTTAAGTCGTACCAGTCCAGGAGGGAAACTGGAGCTGACTTCCCCACCGAACTGGTTTTCTCTTTCTGAAGTTTTAGCATGACGGCTACCTCAACAGAGAGCTGCTGGCCATTCTCGTTCTTTTCAGTCCAGACAACATTTTCCTTCGGTATGTATTTGACTGCCACTGGCAAATTGTCTGCCCTGCGGTAGCCACCATAAACAGATCCACAGCCACCCTTTCCGAGTTGGTTTTGTTGCTTGTATTTTGCGTCAAATAGCTCTTTAGCTGAAGGCAAGGGACTTTCAGAAGCTAACAGTCTGAGTCTCTTTGCTGGACTTTCAGATCCCTCACCATCCAGGTCGATTAACCTCTTTGAGACCCTTTTTACTGGAGCCTGTATGTCTGTGGATAAACAGCCTTCATCTGAGATCCTAGACGTTTTTGTGAGAGACTTGCGATCAAAAACGTTTCTGCTTTTGGCAGACGTCGATCCATTCTCAGTAACCAAACATCTGCATTCCTTTTCTGGATTTTCACCGTCAAAGGAAATGCATTTAGTTGAGAATTTCTCTGTTTGTATGATGTTAGGGTTGTTTTCAGAGAGTTTGTCTTCTTCAGAAACCTTAAACCTTTTAGTGGGAGCTTCATGGTCTGAAACCATTTTTCGTTTGTTTGATGAAACTAAACCACGATTCTCTGACAAATGTGGTTGTTTCATGCTGATGTAAGTCTCTGAATCTTCATCCAGAGCTGGAGAGCAAGTCTTCTGTGCAAGAAAATTGCCCATACTGCTAAGTAAGACGTTGACGATACGTTGAATAACTATCGAACACAACTGTCTCTATCAGCGTCTGACTGAGAACTGAACTGCTGCGATCAACGACTTATAGGCTTTGAAGTTGCTCCTTTATTATGATGTCATAAAGAGAAAACCACGTGTTCCACTCTAAATTTGCATAATGAGCTATTAAATATGCACATAATTATTCATGGGTTTTTACAGCAGTTTTTTTTACATTAATTGTCTTTATTAAGGGAACTGCTGCTCTACCAGCACGGCCCTTATTATTATGCATCTTTTTCACCCCAACATTACCCATATGTCATTATTTTTGGTTTTTCATTCTAACACCACCTAAATATCATTTTTTTTGGGGTTTTTCACCTGAACATCACCAAATTATCATTATTATTATTTTTTACCCCAATATCAACAACATATAAAAATTTATAATAATCTTTCATTTGTTTTATCATATTTTATAATTTTTGGCCTTTGTTTTTGTGACTTTAATATATTTCTGTTTTGTTTAAGACCATTATGATTTTACGACTTTATGATTTGTTTTGTTTTGTTTTTGATCTATATGAAGCACTTTGAGATTCTCTGTCTGTGATGGGTTTGTCGTGGTCTGTGTCGACGTCTCATCTCATGTCTCCTTTTGTACTCCATTTGTTCTCTAGGTGCTCCTTTTGTGTCCTCTAGCGCCCTCATGTGTCATGTCTGCATCTCTACAGTTGTGGTCAGAGGTTTACATACACTTGTAAAAAATATAATATAATGGCTCTACTGAGTGTCCCGTTATTTCTAAAACTCTGATTTTTCTCTGATAGAGTGATTGGAACAGATACTTCTTTGTCACAAAAAACATTCATGAAGTTTGGTTCTTTAATGTCTTTATTATGGGTTAACAGAGAAGAGTGATCACATTTGCTGGGTCACAAATATACATACAGCAGTGCTAATACTTGGTTACATGTCCCTTAGCCATTTTCACTTCAATTAGGCGCTTTTGGTAGCCATCCACAAGCTTCTGGCAAGCTCCTGGTTGAATCTTTGACCACTCCTCTTGACAGAATTGGTGAAGTTCAGTTAAATTTGATGGCTTTCTGACATGGACTTGTTTCTTCAGCACTGTCCACATGTTTTTAATGGGGTTTAAGTCAGGACTTTGGGAAGGCCATTCTAAAACCCGTATTCTAGCCTGATTTAGCCATTCCTTTACCACTTTTGATGTGTGTTTGGGGTCATTGTCCTGTTGGAACACCCAACTGCACCCAAGACCCAACCTTCGTGCTGATGATTTTAGGTTATGTTGAAGAATGTGAAGGTAATCCTCCTTCTTCATTATCCCATTTACTCTCTGTAAAGCACCAGTTCCATTGGCAGCAAAACAGCCCCACAGCATAATATTCCCACCACCATGCTTGACTGTAGGCATGGTGTTCTTGGGGTTAAAGGCCTCACCTTTTCTCCTCCAAACATATTGCTGGGCATTGTGGCCAAAAAGCTCGATTTTTGTTTCATCTGACCACAGAACTTTCCTCCAGAAGGTCTTATCTTTGTCCATGTGATCAGCAGCAAACTTCAGTCGAGCCTTAAGGTGCCGCTTTTGGAGCAAGGGCTTCCTTCTTGCACGGCAGCCTCTCAGTCCATGGAGATGCAAAACACGTTTGACTGTGGACAATGACACCTGTGTTCCAGCAGCTTCTAATTTTTGGCAGATCTGCTTTTTGGTGATTCTTGGTTCACTCTTTACCCTCCTGACCAATTTTCTCTCAGCAGCAGGTGATAGCTTGCGTTTTCTTCCTGATCTTGGCAGTGATGAAACAGTGCCATGCACCTTATACTTGCAAACAATTGTTTGCACTGTTGCTCTTGGGACCTGCAGCTGCTTTGAAATGGCCCCAAGTGACTTTCCTGACTTGTTCAAGTCAATAATTTGCTTTTTCAGATCCATGCTGAGCTCCTTTGACTTTCCCATTGTAGCGTTTGTGGGCCCTATTTACCTGGCCTAAGAGAAGTCACCAGCTGTAGTCACTCATAATCACTCACAAGAAGTTGAGAGGCCATGCTATGAAGCTCAGTTCACTGACACGTTTCTGTCACCAAAATTGCTAGATCATGTTGCTGTATGTATATTTGTGACCCAGCAAATGTGATCACTTTACTCTGTTAACCCATAATAAAGACATTAAAGAACCAAATTTCATGAATGTTTTTTGTGACAAAGAAGTATCTGTTCCAATCACTCTATCAGAGAAAAATCAGAGTTTTAGAAATAACGGGACACTCAGTAGAGCCATTATATTATATTTTTTACAAGTGTATGTAAACTTCTGACCACAACTGTATATGGTGTCTTCTGTTTGTAGACCTTTTTATCATCCCCTCAGGTCCAGTGTTCATTTAGTTATCCTCTGTGCCCCAAGTTGCAGCTCCAGCCTCTTTGTCCCCAGCTGTGTGTGGGTGTGTGTCCATTCCCCAGTTCATTGTGTGTGTGTGTGTGTGTGTGTGTGTGTGTGTGTTTGTGTGTGCACGTGCATGTGTGTGTGTGTGAGAGAGGGGAGGAGCTGATGCTAAGTGTGTTTGCCTCCCTCTTTACATGTTACAGAGTTTAAGACTCTGACCAAATCAGTGACAAACTCACTGTAGACTGATCAGAGACAAATGGCTGCTGCAGCGATTAGACCTGAGCTTGGGATTGTTTTACTCATCCTGTCTGTTTACTGGGCTGGTAAGAAGGAAGCATTATAATCAATAGAAAATCTTCAGATTACAGCAGCTAATGAAGCATCTGTCTGTAGGTACTGAGGGTTAGACACTGACTGAGTCTGAACCAGTGGTTAAAAGACCTGGAGAACCCCACAGACTCACCTGTACTGGTTCTGGTTTCACACTCAGCAGCTATGGAATGGCCTGGATCAGACAGGCAGCTGGAAAAGGACTGGAGTGGATTGCTATTATCTACAGCAGTGGTAGCATCTACTACTCTCAGTCAGTCCAAGGCTGGTTCTCCATCTCCAGAGAGAACAGCAGAAATCAGGTGTATCTGCAGATGAACAGTCTGACCTCTGAGGATTCTGCTGTTTATTATTGTGCTTGAGAGCCACAGAAAAGCAGAAACGCTGAACAAAAACTCCTCAGTGGGTTTTACACGAAGCCACCACAGGCGGCGCCATCACACCGCTGGAACAGGCAATAACTGACTCACTCATCGTTAATAAAACTGTTTAGTAATATTATCAAATTGATCTTTTCAAATAGGGTTTAGGTAAAAGTAAAACTTTGTTTGAAAATCTGGAAAACAAATTAACTTAAAACATAGTTTAGCTATAAATATAATGTGGTGATTAAAAGAAAAATTAACAGTGATTCTTTCACATTTATCTAAAAACCTCCAACAACACGTTTCTGTCAAAAAGCATCTATTGGACCATCTGGTTGTCGGTCTCATCAAACCAGCACACTTCTGCACTCCCTGGGTCCTCCACTCATTACAATAACATGCATTTTGCAACAGAACACCACTGGTGTGTGAGGTTCTCCACTCAATAACATCAGAGGAGAAACAGCCGGCTGCTACCACTTCAACTTTAGGACAAACTACTAGAGTCCCATAAAGGTGTAGTGTTAATAAAGGGTATTGGTTAAGTGAATTGCTTAAGAGCTATTTATTATTATTAACACCACTTGTGACCAAAAGCTTTGATACTCTATATAAATATAGAATATCCCCTGCTTGGTCTTAGGATGATTAGTTAGAAGATTCTAGGATTCTTTTATTCATTAAGGGATCGTACACACTTCGCTTTGATTCAAGAAACACCCAGGTTTATGAACAAAATAAGAATTTACTTTACAAACGAGTAAGACTTGACAAATTGTTTAAACTATTATTGACTGTGAGTGGATGCGAACTAAAGGATGGTGTCTGGAACCTATGCGTGAGTATAATGTATTCAGAATCTCCGTATCTTCAGAAAGCTGAGTTCTGGATGGAAAGAATTTGGTTTGCAAATAAGCTATAAAGTTATTATTATCAAACCACATACAGACGCTATCTCACTGTGTTCTACGTACCCAAGTGGAGACGCCTTTCGGATCCAAGATGTCAGGAGGGGGTTGGAGACCCCGGTGCCGGAGTCCGTAGACTAACTCCTAAGTACGACCAGGTCCGTCCAGGGTCATTTCCAGGTAACACAGTTGGATGAAACTGAGCGTCTTAAAATAACTCTGAAGGAGTTTGCATCAGCTTTGTTCTGTAGGAACTATCTTGTTGTTCTCAGCTTCACAGATGCGGAAAAAGGACTTAAAAAGGATTTTCACAGACGTGTCAAAATCCTTGCTGGTCAAAGAGGTTATGCTCAGATGGCCGGTCTGAAGCTCGCTCTAGAACCCTCAAACTGTTGACTGTTCGAACTCAATTGAGGGAAAAACCAGAGTAAACTAGTTTTAATGGATTGATGTTATGAATTAATGACCAACCAAAAGTTGGCACATTTGAGGATGTTACCATGCATCTCAGAGACACACCCTCTTTGATGGAGACTGTGAATCTGGGCAAAAGGTTAACTTACGTGTCATGCGTTAAGTTAATTTTACTCTGTTGTTGTGTGAGTGCAAATGTTGATGACCTCATCCAGTAAACATGCTTAGCACATATCATTAAGCACAGATCAATGAACATTTCATTGTTTATAATTATTATAAGTAGCAATAACAAGAGGTTATTTAATGATTATTTTTAATTATAAAATCTTCTTTCTTCTTCATCTGGGAATAAAGGAGTTTATTTAAAATAGTTCCTCCACGATGGACCTTGGAGAGAGAATGCTATTGTTTATGTCTTATTATCTCTCAGAGCTGCAGTCCAGCTAGTGTGAGGGAGGCAGGCTCTGATTAAAGGGACTACATGTAGACTTCCAGTCTCCTGTGAGGGGAAAATATTGTAGGTTGTGTCATAGCCAGGGGTAAGATGACCTGGCTGTGAATTTGACCTGTGGGATCTCAAAATCAGGCCATTTTGTGACGTTACAAAGGAAAACACCGTTTGAAGTCTCAGACAACAAGAGATATTTGGACCAGGTATGAAACAAGTTAATTTTGCCCCAAAATGCCTTGAAACGGCTCTGGGTGTGGGATTTGTATCAAATATATAAATATTACAATTCTAAGTTATTGCTTTAAACAGTTAAACATGTGTAGTGGGATAAATCTACCTTTCTTTTCTGAGCACTTTGTTTTGTCTTCTTGTTTTTATGTGACTATTTTTCTGTCCTGTCTGTCTCTGATCTTCCTGCATTTCCTCTCAATTCTCCAGAAAAACTGCTGCCTGGCTTCCTACTTTTTCACCTCATGCATTACTTTTGAACTGAGCAGATCAAAGGGATCAACTGACCATAAAAATAGTGGAGTGCCCACTGCGCAGCTGCGCCAGTGAGGTGAAGTCACCGGAACATGAGTGATAAGCTCTGCTGCAGCGGAACGCATCAGGCACGAATAAAGGACAGAAAGTACCAGAGAATATGAGCTGACATGAATGACCTTGAGTTAGTTATATTGTTTTGGAGGCACGACTTTGAGAATGCCACTGTGGCCGTCTGCAGAATGCAGTTGGCCACATAAACTTGATCTTTGTTGGGCTCCCCCTGAGTGTGTCATTTGAGTGCTTCTAGGGGAGCTCATCACCACTCATCAGGGGAGTGGGGCTCCCCTTAGCTCCCCTGTAATTTGAACTGTGTCTGGTGTTTAGCACTACCTCCATTCCTCTGGCAATGTGAGTTTCCGGTTTTGTTGGACGTGGATTGAGTTTCCAGTTTTGTTGAACGTGGATCCAGGGCAGATACCCAAGGGGAGGGGTTGAGTGTTCCGTGACCGTGTTTGCGTTAAAAACCTAGCTTGTTTTTCAGATTCGTATAGCAACTTTAAAACCATAAATAATCATCATCTTATTCATTCTGTTGTTTCCAGAAACACAAGAAGTGCTGATCAGCTTTCTGGCTTTTTACATTGTAAACAAATGTTTTCTACTGAATCCTGTAGTAAATAAGTGGTTTTACGTTAATTTAAAAGTGAGCTCAGAGTCCTGACTGCAGTTTTCTATCTTGGTCATCATTATAAAGGCCTGCTGGGTGTGATTCACAAAGACCTGAAAGCTTAACTGCTGGGAGGTTTTATAGACCTTTAACAATTTAGATTATTGATTCAGTCTTGTCATTTTCATAATGAAAGTTCTTATTAATCTCAGTGATAACAATCAGATTATTAACACAGAATTATTGTCATGAATTCATTGGTTTTTACAGGTTGGATAGACATTTTCACTCCAAGCAGTATATGATCAGACTTCATCAGTAAATCTTGAATTCTAATCATCTTCCCTTTCATTAAATAACCAATAGTAATAAAATATAGTTGATGATAAATCTGTAAACTAACCACCAAACCATAATTTCTGCTTCAAGGTTAAAACACATTTTGCCGTAATTGATTTTTTTATTTACTCTTCATTTTTAAGTAGTAACATTAGTTTTATTGCTCATAAATTATTAATATTAACATTTTACTCAAACAAGAAACAAAATGACTTAGCAGATCAATAATTGTTAAAATATTACATTAAAAACAAAATATTCTGTCATCCCCAACTACAACATTTGATCTTTTCTTTGAAAATAAGAAAAAACGTGGCTATTTTTTAAAATTATTTTTGTCTAATCGTTTCAGAAATGGAGTTTCAGGATGAAACAAATAAAAGAAAAGAAAAACTTTATTAACAGTTATTTACAACGCTAACGCCAATTCATGAGCTCATCTTTGTTGTCCTGTAAAAAACCTGAAGCAACGATTTAGATAAAAATCTACAAAGTTTAATGCTTTCAAAAAATAAAATTTCTTATTATATTTATCTTTTAAGACTGCTTTAAAATGTTTTTTCGTCATATCATAAAAGTCTGAGGCTGTTTCCTTCCTGTGAGGAGGAGTTCATGTAAAACATCTTCCAGCTCTTATTTATCTAGAGAGGACGACAGAAAACAGCAACAGACATTTGAACATGATGGACTGTAGAACAGGACTGCTGCTGCTGCTGCTGTTGGCTGCTGGATCCTGTGAGTCTGACTGAGACTCAAACAGTCTGATCAGACTTACTGACTGTTTACTGTTGTGACTGATTCATGATGTTTTCCTTCTCAGGTGTGAAGTGTGAACAGCTGACTCAGCCAGCCTCTGTGACTGTGCAGCCAGATCTGCGTCTGACCATCAGCTGTCAGGTCTCTTATTCTCAGCGCAGCTACATGACACACTGGATCAGACAGCCTGCAGGAAAAGGACTGGAGTGGATTGGTGGAAAATATACTGGATATTCATCCTACAAAGATTCCCTGAAGAACAAGTTCAACATTGATTTAGACTCTTCCAGTAACACAGTGACTCTGAATGGGCAGAACAGGCAGCCTGAAGACTCTGCTGTGTATTACGGTGCCAGAGAGCCACAGTGACACAAACATCAGAACAGCTGAACAAAACCCCCCTCAGAGTCTGAACAGCTGTGACATAAAACCACCAGAGGGGGCATTCTGATACTATTGATAATTTGAAAACTGACTTATTTGACAGGAGAAACTAGCCCAGAATACACCCATGTCATCAGCTGCTTTTGCCTTTCTGGTTAGAATTCTGCGTGAAAACATAAAATATGAAGATTCTGATGAAGTAAACATTATTAATGGTATCTGCATAAACTGAAATGAAGATGTTTAAACTCTTTGTATTTTGTTTCTAAATTTAACTGACTCCATTATGACCAGCTTGTAGCTAAACTGTTTACTTATAATTAAGCTGTTTCTCCAAACTGAGGCTTTTCAAAGAGCTATCTACAACAGATAACATTTTTTTATGATGTTCAGATGTAATCTAATTAAACCAGCAACCTAACCTAACCTGGTTTATTCTCCAGATCCACTTTTTCATTTTGTTCTGAGGATTTTACCTGAATAATGATCGTTTGTAATCTAACATCTGTTTGAAGGATCCACATAATAAACCTGAATGTCCAAGAAGTAAATGAGTCCAGAGGTTTTCATACAAATAATATTAAATCTTATTGAATAAAAATGCAACTTTTGAATGATTCTGAAATATTTAAATATTGTTAATTATTCATCATCATGCAAATAAATGTTGTTCATAAGGAAGCTGAGTGTGTGTGTGTGTGTTCCAGTCAGAGGAGGATCTTCATCATCAACCATGTTCTCTGTAGCGCTGCTGCTGCTGCTGACAGCTGGATCCTGTGAGCAGATTTCACTAATAGTCACTTAAAAACTCTCAATATTCAGATGAATGATGGAGATGATGTTGGTTTGTGTTTCCACAGGTGTGTTCAGTATTGATCTGATCCAGCCAGCCTTTAAAGCTATGCAGCCTGGATCACCTGTCGGCTCTTTGGTTACTCTGTGACTGATAACTATGGAACAGGTTGGATCAGACAGAGAGAAGGAAAAGCACCAGATTATGTTTTCCATATGTGGGGAAGCAATGGGTATTTCTACTAAAACGATGCTCTGAAGAACAAGTTCAGCTACAGCAGAGACACATCTGCAGGAACAGTGACAATAACAAGACAGAACCTGCAGCCTGAAGACACAGCTGTTTATTACTGTGTGAGATAGTGGTACAAAACAGCAACGGACCTGAACAAAAACCCAACAGTGGCTCTGCTGTGTGTTATCTTACTTACTAATAATAGATTCATGGTTCTGTTTTCTAAATGAACTCACTGTAAGGAATTTAATTTATTTGAGGTAACAAAGAAACTAGAGGCGTTTTCAAAATCATGATGGAAAAATAGAAAATATATTCATTTAAATAATTAAAAATATCTAATATTAAAACACTTAAATGTTCAAATACCGACTTTAATAAAGCAACAGATACGTAGCAACAGTTCCAGTGGAGAAAAATCAGCAGACTATTATTTTAACTTCAAATTTTCTATACTTTCTGATTTTTTAAAATTGTGTTTCTTTACGGAAAGACAACCATATAAATAACAAGGACCTAATGAGTAAAGCAACAAAAGCTCCACTTTATCCCTCTGATGCATGACTTATGAAATCTTCAACCATGATTTTTTAAGCATTTTTTTCCATTCATCTTTAGGTGTGAATGAAACAAATTTCAACAAATATTTTTTATAACATTTAATAGTTTACAAATAATTTATTACATGTCCATCTCAGTGGACAGTGTGCATTCTGAACATGAAATATGTTGGCTTGACTTACTGAAGTCCAAATGGAGGGGCTCAAATGCAATAAAGTCTTCAACAGCTGTGCTTAATAGCAAAATTAAATAAATAACAATTTTGAGTACCTGTCCACTGTAGTGACCATTATGCATCAAAGGGTTATCGAACAATAAACAATAAAATCACCCTTTGCTCTTTCAGAAGACCCCTCCCTCTGTTCTTGTGAACTAAACAGTTTCAAGCCGACACAAATGAAAAATCTTCCGTTAACATCAATAAATAAAGATTGTCTTCTTAATTCCTGTGTGTGTAGAGATGTGGACGTTGTTGTTTAGAAGATGATCTAAAAGTGTGAACCTAAAAGATGAAATGGAATTGAACAAGTATTATGGTCTGTTTTCTGGGTGTTGACAAACAAAGAAAAGCTGTTTCATCCTGTTATAAAAAACATCATGTTGGAGTGTAAATGCAGCAGTGAAACAATTTAAACATTAATATAATCAGTAAACACAGTAAGAAGGCAGGAGAGCAGACAGGTTTCATTTAAAAACCCAGTGGCCAAGTTTTCCAGTAAGGCAGATGAGGTTGTGGCAGCCATGAATGAAATGCAAAAAAAAGTGTCTGAATGTGTGGGGAGAGTGGAGGAAACGGAGAAACGCATTTCAAATGTAGAAGATGAGCATGTGGTGATGGGGACCACCATTTCAAGATTAGAGAAAGAAAATAAAGTGTTGATGGATAAATTAGTGGATTTGGAAACCAGATCCCGACGCAATAATCTCAGGTTGTTCGGAGTTCCAGAGGGAGAAGAGGGTGCGGACGCCTGTGGATTCCTGGAAAGCTGGATAACGGATGTATTGGAGTTGAATACAACAAGGAGCCCTCTGGTCATTGAGAGAGCACACCGCATTGGCCCAAAAAGAAAGCCTGAGGAACCTCCAAGAACATTAATTATGTGCTTTCTTAACTATAAACAGAAAGATATGGTGATCAGAGCAGCAAGACTGAAAAAAGATATTTTGTACAAGAACAAAAGGGTGAGATTCTACGAGGACGTCGCCACAGAGGTGCACAAACTACAGAAGAAGTTTGGGGTAGTACGACAACAACTCTGGAAGATGGGACTGAGGAGTGGCATCGTAATACCAGCTAAATTGATAGTAACATACAAGGAAAAAGTCTACAGATTTGACACGCCAGAAGAAGTCCAAGGTTTCATAAAGAAGGTCCAGGAGAACAAGAGATGAGGACGATAATATAAGGTCTAACATTTTGGGGTAATGATTCATTTGGAAAAAGATATAGTTAACTTCATCAAAGTAGAAGGTAATTAAGAATAAAGCGATTTTCTGTTTTTTTTTTTTAATCTGCACAGTTAACTAGATAGGAAGAATGATAATTTTCAATCTTTTATATTATACTACTTTTTTTACATTTCATTTTTATTTATTTAGTTATTAATTACGATTATTATTTTTTTAATTATTGAATTTATTCAATTTTGTTTAAAGACAGTGAAAAAGTAGTTAATTATTAAGGGGCAGTGGAATATTAGCAAAGCTTAAGGATTCATTAAGGACACAGGGAGCAGGGAAGAGCTAGGCATAATGCCAGTCATTTAAGTTAGCAGATCTTAAAACGGGGATCTGTACATGGTTAAAGTTGGAAGTGGAACATTTGAGTGGGTTACCCAGAAAATGGGTGGGTGGGTTTTTTTGTGTTTTTTCTTAAGTATGGTTTGTTCACTTAAAGTTCGTGTTTTGTGTTCCGTTTTGTTCGTACTCTCAGACAAATTTAAGCATTTAGAAGTGCATGTGAGGTGTGATGACTCGGGAACTGGAAGTTAAATGTACCTCTTGGAATTGTAGAGGCTTAAAAAGTACTAAAAAGATTAAGCAAGTAATGACCAAAATGAAAGATCTGGAAGCTAAAATAATTTTTCTTCAGGAGACGCACTTGCTGGAGGAGGAACATATTAAGGTTGGCAGGAGGTGGCAAGGTTCGTTGTATGCAGCATCATTTAGATCCAATGCTCGGGGAGTAATCACATTAATACATAAATCACCTTTTCAGGTTAAGAATGTAATCAAAGATAAATCTGGTAGGTATTTGATCATCCAGGGATTACTTATACAAGAAACCATTAACTTAATTAATGTATATGGACCAAATACAGATGATGATGCATTTTTTACTAATCTTTTTCTCACAATTTCATTACTCCAAGGAAAATGCATCATAGGAGGGGATTGGAATTGTGTACTGGATCCCTGTAAGGATAGACCAACTGGGACTGATCAGGCCCATAACAAAAGCCGAAAAACAATTCTTAACTTCATGAAGGAACTTCAGTTGATTGACATCTGGAGACAGTTAAAACCTGACGATATAATTTTTTCCTGCCATTCAAAAACATTTAATACATATTCCAGAATAGACTATTTTTTAGTATCAGCAAGCCTACTATCAAACATAAGGACATGCTCATATGACAGTATATTACTATCGGACCATGCTCCCTGCAATATCATATATACACATAAAAACTTAATAATGGAGCGTAGATGGTGTTTACACCAGAAATGGCTGAATGATGAAGAATTCCTCACTTTTGTAGAAAAAGAAATAGATGAATATTTTACTATAAATGGTTCACAAACATCAGCTAGTATTAGGTGGGAGGCATTTAAGGCATGTTTACGGGGAGTTATAATTGCATATACTTCATCGAAATCTAAAGAAAAATGTAAAACAAGACAGCAAATGGAAAAGGAAATTAAAACTCTAGAGGAACTAGTATTCAAAAGTAGAGACCCAGTAACAGAGAAAAAATTGCTAATACTAAAAGCACAATACAATAAAGAATCGGCAGATAGAGCGGCTTCGAACATTTTGAGATTAAATCAGTCTTTTTATGAACAAGGAGAAAAACCTGGAAAAATATTGGCATGGCAAATTAAACAATTGGAAGTGCAGAAAAATATAACATCGATTGTAAGCAGCAAAGGGGAAATGATAATAGACCCGATGGAAATAAATAAGGCGTTTAGAAACTATTATGAAAAACTTTATGAATCTCAGGATAGATCAGATCAAACCTCCAGAAATGCGTTTCTGGATAAAATAAATATTCCTACTATTGCAGATGACTTAAAACAACAATTAGATGCAGAAATCACCGAAGGGGAAATAAGCAGGGCAATTAACAGTATGAGTTCAGGTAAAAAAGCGGGACCAGATGGATTTCCAATTGATTTTTATAAAAAATTTAAAAGTTAATTAGTGAAACCATTATTGGAAATGTATCAGGAATCATTACACAAAGGAAGTCTTCCTAAATCAGTAACGGGTTCGCAAATCATTTTGCTACCTAAGCCGGGAAAGCCGAGTAATAAATGTGAAAATTTGAGGCCGATAAGTTTACTCAATTCCGATATTAAGGTGTTAGGTAAAATATTAGCTACACGTTTGCAAGGTACTCTCCCCTCAGTAATTCATAGAGATCAAAATGGCTTTATATTGGGACGCCAAGGTCTGCATAACGTAAGAAGAGTCTTTAACATTATAGACGGAATAAACAATTCGTCAGAGAGCGCCTTACTCTCGCTGGATGCCGAAAAAGCATTCGATAGGGTCGAGTGGCCCTATCTTTTTGATGTTCTGACTAGATTTGGGTATGGAGATGTGTTTCGAAGATGGATACAATTATTACATTCAAATCCAACTGCTGAAATCTTGACAAACAAAAATGTCTCTGAACCAATAAGGGTGAAACGGGGATGTCCACAAGGCTCACCGATAAGTCCATTGTTGTTTGTATTAGCTATGGAACCCTTTGCTATAGCCGTACGTTCGAGTTTATCGGTGACAGGAATTATGGTGAATGAAGTAGAACATAGGATCTCGTTGTACGCTGATGATGTAATAGTATATCTCTCAAAAATAAAGGAATCAATACCTGCTCTGCTTAGATTGATAGGGGAGTTTGGTCAGATATCAGGATATGTCATTAATAAATCTAAATCATCCGTTATGTTGCTAAATGAGGAAGAAAGGGACAACCCACCCACAGTAACATCCCATTTTAAGACAGTAAGGGACTTTATGTATTTAGGGATACGGATTTCGTCTAAACTAAGTGAGATTGTGGAAAATAATTATGAAAGACTTTCTAAAGAAATAACAGAGATAGTGGACAGATGTATATCTCTACCAATTTCTTTAATGGGTCGGATTAATATATACAAAATGAGTATACTGCCAAAGGTGCTTTATGTGTATCAGAACATCCCCTTGCCACCTCCTGTGGATTGGTTTAGCAGGATCAAAAAGCTTGTTCTCGGTTTTTTAGGGCAAAATGGGAGACCAAGGATAAGATTGTCATTGTTACATCTACCATACAATGAGGGTGGTGTCATGTGTCCAAATATTGAGTGGTACTACTGGGCATGTCAAATAAGGTCTATAAGATACTATTTTGACTTAAATAACGCCCCGCAATGGTCAGAGATGGAAAGTATGAATTTGCATCCACCATTACCATTATATTTTTTCTCAGACACAGCAGTAAACTTGATTAGAAAGGCAAAAAACCCAATGGTGAAGAACATGGTCAAAGTATTGTATGGTGTAAAAAGATATATGAATGAACCTGTTGTATTGTCACAGTTTACACCGATGTGGGGAAATCAGAATTTCAGACCAGGAAGAGAAGATACAGTTTTTAAACAATGGTCAATTAAAGGACTTCAAAAAATCCAAGATTTATATCCAACAGACTCTCAAGAAATGATGTCCTTTGATATGCTTAGACATAAATATAATATTGATAGAAAGCAATTTTTCAAATATCTCCAAATTAGAAGTTACATTCGAGCAAATCAAAATAATACCTGCACCAAACCACCAAAATCAGAACTGGAAGAAATAATAAGTAAAAGCAGTTTGAAACAAGGGGCAATATCAGAAATATATAAATTACTTAGGTCCAAAACATCTGAAAATTCGTTAGGAAGAATGAACGCCTGGAAAAATGATTTAAAAAAGGACATAACCAGGGATCAATGGGAATTGGTTTGTACAAAAGCTCATAAACAAACAATCAATTCTAGACTAAGGTTGTTGCAATACAAATGGTTGATGCGAATATATGTTACTCCCGAAAAGTTGAATAAGTATAACCCTAATATACCAGACATTTGTAATAAATGCAATGAAGGGAAAGGTGATTTTTGGCATTGCATTTGGGGTTGCAGGAAGATAGGATCCTTTTGGATTGCAGTAACACAAACTATGAAACAAATACTATCCAAAGAGATTGTTTTGGATCCCTGCTTTCTTATTTTGGGATTGTATCCTGAAAACATGAGGTACACAAAAAGCGACAGAATGTTTATTGATATGGGTCTGTTACAAGCAAAAAGATTAATTGCTTTAAAATGGAAAAGAACAAGGGAGCCGAGTATCACACAGTGGATAAAACAAATGATGGTGGTTTTGCCAATGGAGCGGATAACATGTATACTGAAAAATAAATTGGATGTTTTTGAGAAGGTATGGAGACCGTTTGTGAACTTTGTAGAAGGATTTGTATTAGCTGAGGAGGATGAGGACTGAGGACAATGACATTTGTTTTGAGATAATGTCAAATTTAGGCCTTTAACGGAGTGATAAATCGACTGTTTTGTTTTTCTTTCTTTTCTTTTAGATGTCTGAGAGGAGAATATGTTCATGTAGTGTTTAGTGTGTTGGAATGTTTGCTAGTTGCTAAAATGTAACAAAAAAATAAAAAAATAAAATAAAGATATTGTTGGAAAAAAAAAAACAAGATACACAGATTACATTTTCAAGTAAAGACCTGGAAAAATCTTCAATTTAATTCAATTATTTTAGTTCCTGTGATTTCAGGTTAATAATTCTATTCATATTAATACATAAGGCAATTAATTTCTGTTTAGTTTTGCATGTGATGTTTACTAATGAGACAAAATGATGAACATTTATTCAAAAAATATAAAACAGTATTTTGTGTTTTACCCAAATAAATCAAATTCCCACCAGTTTTCTGAACATTTTAACATTTTTATAAAATTCTAACAGCAGCTGAATAAAACTGGTAACAGTGTTGCATCATCTATTTGAGGAGGAGTCGATGCAACACTCAGAAGTCTTACAGCTCTATTTATCTGACTGCAGAGATGCTGACAGAGAACTCTGAACACTAGAGTAACACGATGGATTATAGATCAGGGCTGCTGGTTTTAGCCCTCTGCTGGACAGGTGGAGAATTACACTGAATCTGAGCTGAAGAGACATGTTTTTGTCACCTCTATAATGCATTATGTTGTTATTTTTTTCATCTGACAGGTGTTTCAGGTCAGACTCTGACTCAGTCTGAACCAGTGGTTAAAAGACCAGGAGAATCCGACAAGCTGACCTGTACTGGTTCTGGTTACACATTCAGTAGTTATGCGATGGCCTGGGTCAGACAGGCTCCTGGAAAAGGACTGGAGTGGATCACCTACATCAGCAGTGGTGGTGGCACTCAGTTCTACTCCCAATCAGTTAAGGGCCAGTTCATCATCTCCAGAGACAACAACCAACAGCAGGTGTTTCTGCAGATGAACAGTCTGAAGCCTGAAGATTCTGCTGTTTATTATTGTGCTCGAGAGCCACAATGACTGAAGTCAGTGGAGCAGCTGCAAAAAAACCTGAAGTCTCTTTGCTTCTTTGAGATGTTGGAGACAACGTTGCTTCACTTCTTTAGGTTTTGTGGTCATTTTTTAGTTTAATGTTTCTTGTTCTTCTGCAGCTTTTAGATAACAAACATGATCAAGTCATGGGTTTGACACACATATGGCAGCTCCTCATCTCTTCCTTTTGTCTGTTTACTTTTGTGTTTCTGGAACATTTTCCTGTTGAAGAACAAAGTTTCAAACAGCTTCCAGCTGTCAGACCCTAAAGATCAGGGACCTGATCTCCTGTATAACTTCACACATTTTCATTATACAACTCATTAATATTATGATGCACATTTTTCTTCAGAAAACTAAACATCAGTTTGTTACTGAAGCACAATAATAGTCATGTTACAAGAACCTGAGAGTAAAAACATCACTGGATGTTTTAAATGTAAAATCTGCTGAGAAACAATCAAACCCAAGTAGAGCTACAGAAATATTCACGTTACTGTTTAAAATACATTTATAACAAAAATAAAAATAACAATTGTTATCTAAAATGTCACAAAAACAAACTTCCTGCAGGTTCAGTCAGTGACTTAACAAAACATCACAATTTACAAACAACTTCTATCAGTTCACCTTCCACAACAACCATGTAAAGATACAGCAGATATGTCTAATGCTATGGTGGCCATGAAAGGACAAACTCAACACCCTGTAAACACAGCTGCATGTTACTGAGAGTGGATTTATATGATATAAATGATCACATAACAAAAAAGACCACAAACATTTAAACATGAACTCTGAGTTTGACTAAATGTCTCATCTTTAAATGACACTTGAACAGTTTAAATGTTCAAAAGTGATGACATCATAAGTTACAAATGACGCTTAAAGCAGTAAGCCTAAGTAAAATATAAAAATATGAGAGGTAACTGAAGACTTTTGCACCAATCTGAGTGTTTTCATGCTTTTATCCTGCAGGGGGCGGTCTATGCAAACGCCTCTTCTCATAAACCCACCAGCAGCAGCTCTGACAGAGTTTATGGTAGAAGATCCACATTTCTCACATCTTCATAACAACATTTGTTTCAGAATACAAACTGAAAAGTGTAAGTTTGCTAAAAGATGTTCAGCTTTTTAGATTTTATAATTTAGTTAAAATCAAGATAATAAACTCTGGAGATAGCTCTAACAATTAAATAACAATTACAACAAAGAAATTACAAAGTTTGCTTTGTAAAAAAATTAAAATTCACAAAATGATCTAAAGATTAATGGTTTTTCCTGGTTATTTTCTACAAAGGAGAACCCTTATTTTAAAATCTGATCTTAAAGGAAACGTCAGCAAACAGATAAATCTAAAATGATTTTTAACAAGAAACTATTGGAACTAAAAACACATTTACTGTGAGTGCTGAGTAGGTTTTAGTGAATATTACTGTTAAAAGTTTATTGTTTTCTACATTAAATGTCTCAAGATCAACTTTAAACTTGACAACAGGCATCAATTATCTGTGTTAATGAGGGGCAAAACAGAATTGATCTAATAAAGCTTAATAATGTAATTGTTTATTTGTGGGTTCCTTTTAAACTTTCATTTCATTTCATTTATTTATTCACATTTTCCATCCAAGGAAGCCCAAAGTGCTGCACACTAATGCCCATCTTCATTTAGTTCATCAGACACCAAAGCAGATGATCACCACGTCTCCATGATGACTTTAACTCAGAGTGTTTATCTTCTCCTGCTGTTAATAATTCCTGGTGAACATCACCCTTCTTCTCTCTTCTGTTCCCATGTTTGCTGTTTGTCTCTTTTCTGATCTCTCTGCTTGTCTCTCAGGTGTTTGCGGTCAGACTCTGACTGAATCTGAAGCAGCGCTGAAACGACCTGGAGAATCCCACACACTGACCTGTACATATGCAGGAATTTCAGATCCGCTGGATCAGAAAGGCTGAAGGAAAAGTACCGGAGTGGGTCGCACACATTTCTGCTACCAGTGGAACCATCATATGTTATCCTCCATCAGTGCAGAACCGCTTCACCGTTTCCAGAGACAACAACAAGGATCAGGTGAATCTGCTGATGAGCAGCTTGAAGACTCTGCAGTTTATTATTGTGCTCGAAGAGCCGCAGTGATACAGGATGCCACAGAGCTGATCACAAACCCAGCAGATGTCTGACTCTCTCTGATGTTCAGTTATGCTGAGCAGGGACGAAATTTTGATTTCAGAAGTGGGGGGGACTCAGCAGGCTTGTGCGGATTTGGGGTGGGGGGTGTTATGTAAAGACCCCTTGACACGTCACGTGCCCATCTCAATAATTTTTCCATCCTCAATATATATATATATATATATCAAAGTAAAAAAATGTACAACTCTATTATTATTTTTATTTATTATCATTATTGAAGTGCAGTTTTGGCTGTTGACAATGGATAGGCCATTGTATTTATTGTTTTGGGTCTTTTTTTATTGTTTTTGGTGCAACATTTTCTAACAGGGAGTGAGATTCCTTTTTTATTTAATTTTTGTTTGTTATTTTTATTCATTTAGAAGTTCTGGTTCTGGACATTTCAATGTTAAATGAAGGTTTATTTGTTGCATTTTAAAGGGTGTACTTGCATTATTATGATATATTAACATTATATTAGTGGTTATTTTGGTCTAGATAATGTTGACAATGATATCGTTTATCATCAACAATTTGTTGGACAAAATATCGTCCAGCAAAATTTGTTACTTTCCCAGGCCTAGTCAAAAGTATAAAAATTATTTATACATAAACGGTCCCTCCTGAGATCTGGCCGTTTGTTCATTTGCTGTGTTAGTGTCAGGACTCAGGTATCTCCCGGCTGACCTTTGGACCACAACTCCCGACATGCTCCTCGTGGGGAGCTCCCAGCGTGCTCCTTGCGGGGATTCCCTCCACGTCACAGCCAAGCAAGGCTATATATGGAAGACGCCGTGACCGGCTTCTCATCTCAGTCATCGTTTCTTCCTCACCGAGATACGACCAGAGAAATAATAAAACTGATAAACGTCTCACCTTGTTCGTCTCCTTCATCCAGTCTGATCAGCCTGACAGGATGACTGAGATCCGAGTAGGTTCGACGGAGATCGATCGTCTCCGCCACGAGAACGTGCAGCTGCGTTCCATGGTAGATCAGCTCAACACCAAGGTGAACTCCTTGTCCGACCACACCCTGCGTCTATCCACGGCTCTCACGGCTCTCCAACAACAGGCAAACGATCAGCAGCAACAGATCGCTGCGCTCCAGCCGCCAACCCGCTCTGCTCCTAGGGAGGAGCCCCACTTCAGCCTGCCGGAGAGGTGGAACGGGGAGACGGGGAGCCCCGATGGTCTGCTCGCCACGCTGGACATGCAGTTCGAGTGCCAACCTGGACGCTACCCATCTGCGCGCTCCCGAGTGGCGCTTCTCACCTCCCTGCTCTCCGGACGCGCCGCGGAGTGGGCTGCTGCGCTTTACAATTCCAAATCCCCTGCCTGCAACGACTATGCTGCGTTTGTGTCCGCTCTCCGGAAGACCTTTGTTCCCCCCAGCAGCGAAGTGGGAGCAGAGACACGCCTTCTCGAACTCCGCCAGCGAGAACGCTCGGTGTGCGCGTATGCGTCGGAGTTTCGCACCATCTCCGCCAAGCTGCAGTGGAATGACTCCGCTCTGCGGGCCGCCTTCCTGGAGGGGCTGGCACCCTACATCCGTGATGAGTTGGCGGGAAGGGAGCTGCCTCAGACCCTGGATGAGGTGGTTGATCTGGCGCTGCGCATCGACCAGCGGGTTCTGGTTCGACCCAAGTTATCCACGCGTCCACCCAGGACGCCGGTGCCTCGCCCTCGTTCACCCACGCCAGCTCCTGTACCCATGCTGGCGGAGGAGCCCATGCAGCTCGGCCACCTTCCCCCCGAGGAGAGACAACGACGGTGGCGCGAGGGCCTCTGTGCCTACTGTGGCTCTCCCGACCACAGACGCCTGGACTGCCCGCTACGATCGGGAAACGGGGGGCCCCACTGAGTATTGGGGTCGCTCAGTCTGGGTCTTCTTCTACCCCTGTCGCTACTAACCGTCTCCTTATTCCTGTCACCCTCCTCCATGGTGAGGCCTCACTCCACGTAAACACATTGGTGGACTCGGGGGCCGCGGACAATTTCATGGACCTAGATCTGGCAAAACGCCTACGGATCCCCCTACAACCCCTGGAGAGAGTTATACCAGTGACCTCGGTGGACGGTAGGCCTCTCCAACCCTACCCAGTCCGAGACCGAACCCAGTCACTCCGTATGATCACCCAAGGCCACCAGGAGACCCTAAATTTCCTGGTCATCTCTGCTCCCTCTTCTCCTCTAATCCTGGGGTTCCCCTGGCTCCGTCTCCACGACCCTCATATTTCCTGGTCCCAGAACCGCCTGTTGGGCTGGGGGACCTCGTGCCAGACCCACCTCGTTCCTCCTCCATCCTCGGCGGGTCTTCCGGACGGGGGCCCCGGCTCCACACCGCCCCACCTGCCGCTGCCCTATCGGGACCTGGCCGCGGTGTTCGACAAGCGGCGCGCCACCTCCCTGCCACCTCACCGGCCATATGATATGGAGATCAAGCTGCTACCCGGAACCAGTCCTCCCCGCGGGCGCCTTTTCTCTCTCGCGCCTCCCGAGACCAAAGCGATGGAAGAATACATCGCCCAGGCCCTCCAGCAGGGGTTCATCCGACCCTCCTCCTCTCCGGGTGCCGCTGGCTTCTTCTTCGTGAAGAAAAAGGAAGGCGATCTTCGCCCCTGCATAGACTATCGGGGTCTGAACAAGATCACGGTCAAGGACCGCCATCCTCTGCCGCTCCTCACTACCGCTCTGGATGCCATCTCCCAGGCACGGATCTTTACGAAACTGGATCTCCGGAGCGCCTACAATCTGGTCCGTATAAAGGCCGGGGATGAGTGGAAGACCGCGTTCATAACACCCACCGGCCACTGGGAGT